TTTCCCACAGATACTTTTTAAAAGAGATGATGAAAATTTTATCACGTTTAGATACACTTGGGATCAAATGGTTTTTTGAGCTTGGCTGTTTTCCTATTAAATCTGCCATTCCTTGAGGACCTATATTCAAGATCCAAATAACCAACTTATAAAACAACTTTTAACTCATTTGGTTTTTTTTAAAGAAAAGAATTCATTTTCTTCTGGATCAACAAAGAAAGAGTTTGTCTCATGATTGCAGAAAATGATTTCTTCTAAGTGTCCAGTGAACTGGGCGTGGAGGTACACATCTATAATTCCAGCACTTTGGGATGTTGAGGCAGGAGGATTACACGTTTGTGCTCAGCTCAAACAACTTAGGGACTCAGCAAGATTTTATCTCAAAAAATAACAAGGGCTGAATGCAGCTCATGGTGCAATGGATTCAATCCCCCGTACCAACAGGATGGACAAAGTCCAACAAAGGACAAATAAAGACACATTAAAAATACTCAGATTAGACACCAAAAAGATTGCTTCTAATACAAGCAGTAATCAAAATATATGAAAGACACATTGCCATTAGTCCTGCTCAAAATACTCTCCCTCACTTCTAACACATCATCCCAACATGCTTGCCAGTTTATGAAGCAGTTCTGAAAATCCTCTTTCATGAAAGTCTTTACAAAGCGTGATTAAAAGCACAGTGAATTCAGCTGTCGAGTTCTAGCCAATACAAAGGCAGGTCCATAAAGACAACTGTGTGTCCTCACCCGCTTTATTCCATGTATCTGGCACTGTGTGACTTTTTGCTCTTCCTCAAAGTCAAAATGACCATGAAAGGTCAATGTTTTGAAGTCAGGACACCAGGGCAACCATGACAGTACAATTAAAGGCATGCACGAAAAAGGCCTTGCAGAACAGCTTCAGAAAGTGTCAAGAAGAATGGCGTGTGTCTGAAGGGGGGTTACTGTGAGGGGGATTAATAGCAAGGTGTATTTCAGCACAACAAATTTTTAAAAGTTTAAACAGTATTCTTTTTGTCACATCTTGTATTACTTTAAGTAACTCAGTAAAAGTCACCAAGAGAGACAGCAGAATGATAATCCTTTCTTTTATGGTAATCCTTTAAAGACACTAACTTTGTACATACAGAAAAGGTTTAAATAGGACCTGGGTGAAAGACACCTTTTCTTCTCCAGGCCCTTTTTGCCACCTGTATCAACTTTTGGCCCTTCTTAGAACAAAAATACCCTCAGGTGTCACTTCCATGCCTTGGTTCTGTCTGAGCTCTGATGCAAAGCCACACACACACACACACACACACACACACACACACACACACCCATAGCCATGGACCCATCTTTGTGGCCAGTGCTGCAATTCCATTCAGATACCTCTGTGATACCTCATTATGATACAATGCTCACCTTTCCAAAGTCCTTGAAATGTTATTAGAGAGGTGCAGAGAGAGGGGGAGCAGCTGCTGCCAACTGGCTCTGTTCCCACAGCATTAAGAAAGTTTCAAAGGCATTTTCAAAACAGAGTTCATTCAGTTTGCTCAAACAGTTTAAGGATGCAGATGTGGTAGGAGCATACTGATTTTTTTGAACTGTGTTATCTTTATTACCAATCCTATTATAATTATTAGAATCCTGTAATTGAAACATATTTGTAGTATGTGGATTATGAATTAATGTACACGAATTTGCCTGGCTTCTTTAAATCACCTTGGGTTAAAGCAGTGTGACCGAGTTATATTTTTCTTACTGTATTAATATGTTAACAGTAATATTTATAATGAACCCTGGGAACCGTATTCCCTATAATAGAAAGGCAACGCAGAGGTTAAACAGGTTCAGGAGTCAGGAAGACATGGCTTCCGTGATTGCTCCTTCCCAGCAGTTCTTGCCTTCTAGTTTGGATGGACCCTCACCACCCGCAGCACGCAAACTGCCAAGCCTGAAGTTTGAGTGTCCCCCCCTCTTCTCCTGTGTGTCTTGACTGTTGTTTCTCTTTATTTTTTATTTACTTAGTACATCTGTGTAGTATTTCTCTTTTTAAAGATTAATGTATGAAAAAGGAACTTAGTAGCCAAAAGCATAAATGCCTATTCTCCCCATGCTTCTTGTTTGCTTCTTTTTGTGGTTCTGAAAACCTTGTCCACATGAGGCATCACTGAACTACAGCCCCAGCCCTCTCCAAATGGTTCTCAAGTGTGGTCCTAGCACCACTGAATTCGACAGCTGGCACAACACCACGAGATCTCCTACTTAAAGAATCATAAAAAGGACCTTGGAGGTTCTTTGACCTGGAGCAATTATTTTCTTCCTGGATGAATATTTTGAGGCACTTTTTAAAAATCTATGTCTAGCTGTGGCTTTGTGCTACAGCCATTTGATCTACAGTGCAGTTCAACTCTGATGTTTTTTGCTGATTTTTTGTCTGGTTCATCCGTCTATTTGTGACAGTGGGGTGTTGAAGTCTCGTACTATGATTGGATTGGTGTCTGTCTTTCCTTTTATGTCAAGCAGTGTTTGTTTTAGGAAAATGAGTATGCCCACAACATTCTTCACAGATCTAGGACAACCACTAAGGAAATCAGTATAGAAATACCCGTTCCTGGGCATCTCCTGAATGCATTAAAGTCAGCATCCGCAGTGATATAGGCACATCCATGTTTATAGTGGTGTAATTCAAAGAGCCAAGCTGTGGAAACATGCTAGATGCCCACTGATAGATGACTGGATAGAAAATGTATATTTACACGATAGAATATATAACTCAGCCATAAGAAGCATATAATCATGTCATTTGCAGGAAAATTCATGAAATTAGAGAACACCATGTTAGATGAAATAAGCCAGATTCAGGAAGGTAAATTTCACGTTTTCTCTTGTATGAAAAACCAAACGGAAAAACAAAATAAAGAAGGGATGACCAGAAACTAGAAGGTAGATTACTGGAGATAGGAAAGGAGATTAGAGGTAGGGAGTGGGAAGGGAGAGGGGTATGGGAAAAAGACTAAGATATATACCCCCAGCCTCAAACCAAGAGATGTTAAATGCATGCACCATTTATAAAAATGAACCTTGCTGTTCTTTATTACCAATATGCACTAATTTTTAAAAAATCTCTATGTTCAAATTCATTTCTGATTCAGACTCTTTGGTTTGGGACTCTGGCATCAAGAGTTTTCTATTTCTTTTCTTTTTTCTTTTTGTACTGGAGACAGAACCCAGGGCCTTGACACCGACCTACATTCTCATTTAAAGTAATTTTTAAACAAGATCTCCTTAAGTTGCCCAGTCTGGGCTCAAATTTGAGATCCTCCTGCCTTTGCTTCTCAAGGTGCTAGGCATGCACATGGAGATCAGGACTTTATTCTTTATTTTTTTTTAAGCCTTTCTTTCTCCAATCAGGGTTGGAATGCTCTGGTAGAGTTACAACCTAGGGGATCTTAATGTTGTAGAGGTTCCGTGGATTCCTCAAAGTATCTGTGACCTCTTGGAACTCATAAACTTCTATAGTTGTTGACCCAAACTGCTAGCTGGTCCTCAGAGCTCCATAACACCCCACAAAGCTGTGCTTCCACTTTGGTTTAGTGACAAAATGGAAACATCACTCCTGTCACCTTAGAATAGTTCTACGTCAAACTCCTTGAGGAAAGGGATGGCAAGGCAACCTTGAATAAAAGGCATAGAAAAGCCATTAGTTGGAAGCATGCATTTTAGTCTTCATGTGACAACTGTTTATCTTATAGAGGCAAAAGCTGAGGCACAGAGAAATGAGGTCTCCTTCCCAAACTACCAGACCTAGTGACAAGTTGGAAAATGAAGGCCCAGGCCCAGTCCCTGTTTTCTTCCTGCCCTTCAGTAGATGGCACTGAGTCACCCAAAGTGAGGAGCACACTCGGAGTGATCGGCCCCCAGACCCCTCCAGCACTGCTCCCTAGGTGGCCGTCCATCCCGGGCAGGGTGGAGGACATGCAGCCTGTCTGTCTCTTCCTGTGTTCTGGGCACCTCCTGTCTGGGCACCTCCATCTGTCTCCACATGTACGGAGGGGAAGGCTCTGGGACATCCAGCTTGAATGGTTGCTGGAGTAGCACAAGGTCCCAAAGAGACATGCTACCTCTTCCTCCAGAAGTACAGGTGCAGGCACCAAGTGGAGGGGACACTGAGTGGGGTCTGCTTCTGGTCCCTGAGAAGGTGATGCAGAGGATAAAACAGTGGCCTGAATGTTGATGGCCTCCATGGTGGATCTGTAAATGTGCAGTAGGATTTAAATGGTCTTCCAGATGCACTGACTTGCTTAGGATGGAATTAGCTCCATAATCACCTGAAGTCATTAAATTTGATACTACAATATCTTCTGTTTATTACTGAGCAGCCCAGGACAAGATCTTAACCTCTCGGAGCCTGCCTCCTCTGTGAATTGGAGTGTGTAATATCTAGCTCTGAACTGTTGCATGGAGTAAATTATGTGACATCAAATGGCCAGGGGAGTGTCTGGGACCAGGCTGTGCCGTCATTGATGGCTGTTATTATTAACATAATGATCAGAATGCAAATATTAGGGTGACAAACTGTTCTACATCTTAAGTCACCACACCATTTTTGATGACAGAGGAGAGATATTGAAGCCAATTTTGAACTCTCATAGGAGATAAGAGGGGGGATTGGGTGAGACCTTTCAGAAGTGGTTAGGATTCTGCTCTCCTGAATAGATCAACTCATTCAAGGGATTGATGGATGAATGGGTTCACGGTGCATCTGAAGAGTTAGGTGCACTGTAACAGCCAGCTTGTCTCTCATCACATCATGCCCTGCTCTACCTCAGGTCTCCACCAGGCCCACACCCAATGTGGCTCCTTGACCATTGAACAGAACTACGAGCCCAAGTAAACCTTTCTTCTTTATAACTTACATGGTCTGTGATACTGTGTCATAGAAGGAAATAGTCTAAAATAGTAGGTGTCAGGAAGAACTTACATTGAAATTAACAGAACAGCCCTCCTTACCCGATCATTCTGTTCCACCAGGGGTATGTCAGATCCAGGTTCTCCCTCGAGGCTGACAGCCTCAATGCACTCAGCAAGTGCATCCTCAGTCACTTCTCTGTGGAGAGGGGGCTCCAGGACAGTGGTGTCTGTGGATGGCACTGGGCTCCCGTGGGCAGCAGTCTCTGCACCCTGACCAGCTGCATTCTCCTGCAAACCATCTCCTCCGGAGTCAGCCGGCACTGGCTCATTTGAACAGGTAGCTGAATCACATTGCAATGCTGCGTCTTCAGGTACAGAATCACTAGTAGGCATCTCGGGCATCTCAGTCATTTCTGCTCCGTCGCCAGTGGCCAAGGCGTCATCAGCATCATCAGACATTTTAATATCTGTCAACATGATTACAAATACTTTATGCTTTAATGTGAATCATTAAGCTTTCACTGAAAGCTCTGATTAAGTTTGGTGGGGGTAAACTTTCTTCTAATAAGTAACTTTATGCAATCTTATTGTAGCATGAATAACAGCCCCCAAAGGTATCCATCTCCTAATCCCTGGAACCTGAGAATATTCCTTGCATGGCAAAAAGGACTTTGCAGATGCCAATATGGATCTCAGGACAGGGGACTATGTTGATTTACCTGAGTATTCTCAATAGACAACCAGAGGGAGACTGACTACAAAAGGGAATGTGATGTCAGGAGCAGAGCGAGGCACTATGAGGATAAAAGAAGGGGACACAAGCTTAGGAACACAGGCAGCACCAGAGACTGCAGGAGGTGAGAAAACCATTTTTCCTCTGAGACTCTGGATGAAAGGAGCCCTGCCAAGACCTTGATTTTAGCCCAAGGAAACTAACTTTGGATCTCTGACCTGCAGAACCACAAGATAATAAATCTGTATTGATATAAGCTGTTCAAAGTATTGTAATTTAATATAACAACATCAGGAAACAAATATAAACCAATGTGCCTACCTTTAAACTTCCAAGGATCTCTCACTTGGCATGAGGGATATGTATACAGGAACTAATAATATACTACCTGGGCCTGTAAAATTATTTAATCTATTACCTTTGTAAAAAATAATGAAAGACTAGACAGAACTTGAAAACATTTAAATAAAAAGATGTGTCACTAGCTTTGCAATGTTATTAGGGACACGTAAGCACACATTGTTGGGACCAGCTGGGGAAGGGCTGGGCTCTGGCTGGACAATAATTCAGTCAGGGAAAAACAAGGATGAAAGGGAGATAAATGACATATGAAGCCAAATGTGAATGCAGCCATTCATTATGCAGTAACCTACCAAGTAGAAAACTCCTTTAGAAGCCTATAAGTTATCGACATCATGAAGAACAGCACTGTCCAATACAACTTTCTGCGATGATGAAAATGTTCTGTATCTGCACTGTGGGTACTGAGCACCTGGACTGCGGCTACTGCAACTGAGAACTAAACATTTCATTGTGTTCAATTTAAATTCATACAGGCACATGTGGTTCGTGGCTGCCTTAAGAAAGAGCTATAATCAAGGTTTAAAACTTCAGGAGTGTGACTGACTAAACTTTCCTCTTTCCAAGAATATATAATGTCAGTAGTTACCATTATGAAGCACCTATTATATCCAGGCCATGTAAGCTTATTATCGCCCGAGTTACACACGTGAGCTCCATTTTACACAGAAAAGAATTGGGGCTCAGGTCGTGTTTTTACAAAATGGCAGATCTGAAATTCGAGCCCACATCTGAGACTGAATCACATCAGAACCCTATCTGTTCTCTTCCTTTACATTCAGCCAGTGGCCAGATCCTGGAGAGAAGCTCGCTATTCAGAATCCATGCCCATGCTATTCTCACTGTCGGGTCCTCACTGTGATTCACGCTATTGCAGCACTGAGTCTGCCACCCCATTGTGACTCTCTCTCCAGCTTCTCCTCCTTCATCTTCCGGCTCTAATCACATCCTCAGAGACTCCCCCTTCTTGTCCCCACTGAGATGAGTTCCCACCTTCAGCTGGCATCAGGAGACTCAGTGCTTTGGCATCACCCGGCTTACCTCCTACTAGTCCCTTCTAAAACTTAAATGACACAGTGAGTATCTGTTCACAGTCACTGCAGACCCAAGAGGATTTGGTTCAGTCTGTTGCTTTTATAAAAAATCCATTTTAGGCTCAAGTACAACTGCTACCTCCTTAACTATTTGTCCCTCTAATTGGACTTAAGATTTCTTCTTCTGAATTCTCAGAATGTTTTGTGGCTACTTCACCCTGGAGCATCACAATTCTCTTTGACTAGAGGTGCTGGAACTTTTCCTCCATTATATCATAATTCTGTGAAGACAAGGGTATTCCTTGTTTTGCTTTCATATTTTACGCAGCACTTAAACATGGCTTTTTGCACACAGTGGAAAGGTCAACAAATGAGTTGTAATAATATTTGAGTAGTGATACTCAGGTGTTCATTGTAGCAGGTGGTTGTAAGTGACTGTAAGTGCAGATTGTCTTTTATTTTTTTTCCTCTTAGTTAACTGAATGTGTTCACTATCATTGTAACAAATCCCTCAGATAATCATCCTATAAAAAGACTGATTTTGGCTCACAGTTTGGTGGCTTCAGCCCATGAATGGTTAGCCCTGTTGCTTTGGGGCCTGTGGTGAGGCAACTCACTATGGCGGGAGTGTGTGTTACCTCGTGACCAGGAAATAAAAACGACCAAGAGGCTGAGGTCCCAGCATTTCTTTCCAGGACATCCAGGTAAAGACTGGAGGATCTCCCGCTAAACCTCACATCTTAATGTTTCCATTGCCTCTCAAAAGCCTCCACCTGGGAGCAGAGCCTTTGACACATGGGTTCAGGAAATATTCCAGATCCAAAGTATAACACTGAGCTAGAAAGTCTAACTCAACTCCCGTATTCAGTGATGATGCTCCTGCAAACAAATCTCAAGGTGGAAAAGGCAGAGCATACTTACTGTCCCTGGCTGGCACACTAAGTATTGAACCTTCAAGGTAGACTACAGACTGTTAAGGAGTCCGCCTAATTGAGATACTAACGAATGGCCCAAGGCCACTGTTTTGAAAAGGGGTTATTATTGTGGATTATGGGAGGACAGTGAGTTGAGAGGGGAGAGGGGCAGATTTTATGGGGGCAGCTTGATAATCTAATGTCACTAGGAAGCTGATGAAATCTTTGTGAAAACCTCTTTTGGAATCAAGACTGGCCAAAGGCACTGGGTTGGCAAATTACAGCCTGCTGGCCAGATGTCACCCTCTGCCTATCTTGGTTAATAAAATTTTATTTGACAGAGACATATCCTTTTACCTACATACTGTAATGGCATCTCTAGCATGACAAAAGGCTAAAATATTTACTGTCTGATCTGCCACAGAAAATGTTTGCTTGCACCTGGCCTAGGACATTATTTGATGGTCACATCCTAAAGATTTCTGTCTTAATCTATCCTGTTCTCATCTGGGTCCTTGGGTCCAAACCTTAAGAAGAATAAATGATACTTCAAGTTTACTTTTATTCCTATGTTTCATACGCAGCTAGTCACAGACACCATCTGACATTTTTGTTTGTAAGGTAATTTGAACAACCTTATTATTTATCTGGATTATTAACAAACTCCAATCTAAGAACATGGTGGATAGATAACAGCAGCTATAGAGGCTCTCTGAGACAGCCAGCATAAAATCCAGGAATGGTACGATGTGAGGAGTCCTAAGCAAGGGGATATATACCCTGCTGACCCAGGAATGAATTAAGCTGAGAGAAATGAACTAGAAATGCAATCCCAGTGCTATAACTGGAAGGGATAAAATCTCAGTGCGGAAGCTGGAAGCCACGCCTCTGGAAACTGCGGCTTGAATTTCCTGCTGCCGCTGCTGCATCTGAATCAGCACAGCAGGGACAGAGACACGCGAAAGCTCTGAGAGCAGGAATCAGTGAACAGAATTGAGAGCAGGACTGGCGGGGAGCCCTGCATTGACCTGCAGTGAGTGAGAGGAATGGGGAATCTTCCATAGACTAGGAGGCTCCAACAGAGGACATTCTGGGACCGGGCAGACTAGCTGAAACAGGATGCTGCAGTGACTTTAGTCGCATATTCCCCTCTCAAGCGGGATTGGTGGGGAATACTCGGGCTGGGTGATGCCGTGGACTAAGACTCAGTAGGCTAGCCCAAACCAGCTCCCAGTGCCTGGGGGCTCACACTAGCAGTGAAGCCTTCAGTAGATTGACCTGGAGGGACGGACCCAGCAGAGGCTGCCCAGGTCTGTGTCTCCCTAGTACACTACAGTGGGTGGGAACACCTAGCCGGCGGATTCAAACAAACTGTAACTGACAAAGAAAGAAACTGGGCCTCCTATATATGCTTGTATGGAAGGAAAAAAAAGTATGGGAAGAGGGAGCAACAAGAAAGGTTCTCAGTCCCCAATCCTGAGAACACTGATCCAGGAAAAATAAATGCAAAGGAGAATGAGGACAGAAAACATGCAATATCAGACACGGCACCAACAGACATAAAGCGGTATCTCCGGAGCCTCATAGACGAGTTCAAAAGTGAAGTATTTAATGAAGTAAGGAAAGATATAAGTAGAATAGTTAGAGAAATGCTAAGCACCACCCAAGAAAAAACAGATGGTGGAATGGAAGAACAGAAAAAAGGGAGAATTGTTTGATGGAGAAAATAGAGAAAACATAGAATATGTGAAGCAGATTCAAAGAGAGTACCAGGAAACCAAAAACTCTATCAAAAGCTGGCATAACAGCTTGAAAGAAACTAAGGATAGATTAGCTGAACTGGAGGGCAGATTTGTAATGTGGGAGCATGAAATGAAAAACTTCTTAAAAATAAAAAGGAAACAAACAGCAATAATACAAAGGCTAGAAGATAAGAGGATCTATAACTTAAGAATTAAGAATGTAAAAGAAGAAGTAGGGACACAAACAAATGAACTACAAAGGCTATTCACAGAAATAATCCAGGAGAATTTTCCTAATTTAGAAAAAAGTAAAGATACTCAGACATATGAGGTATACAGGACCCCATCTACCTACAACCCAAACAGAGCTACACCCAGGCATATAATAATCAAAATTCCAGAAATCCAATATAAAAACAGAATCATAAAAGCCATCAGAGACAAGATACAGATCACTTACAAGGGAACACCCATCAGAATTACAGAAGACTTCTTGGCACAAACCATCAAATCACGAAGAGCATGGGGGGAAATAATCCAAGCTTTGAAAGATAATAACCTCCAGCCAAGATTGATATATCCTGCACAACTGTCCCTAGAAATTGATGGAAAAACAAGGTGCTTCCAGGATAAAGAGGAACTAGGGGAATTTGCAACCACCAATTCAACTCTACAGAGAATACT